AGAAAAAACAAAACAAAGAAAGAAACAAAAAACCAAAACAAAACCAAAAAAACACAAACAAAACAAAAAAAGAACAAAACCAAAACAAACCACAAAAATACCCAATCAAGAAGAACACTAGAACACTGTAGTTGTTTGTAACTTAATGTCAATTTGCAGGTCACCTGCTATTTTCCACTAGAGGTGTGAATACTATGAGAAATTTCACATATGAAGGTCCAGCCTTTATTAATATAATTTTTACTTTTGAGACATCTTTGGTTCAGAACAGTGAACTGTTCTCTTTAGAACTTAATTTCTCAAATATTTCTTTACCACCTAGACATAGACCATAGACTACGACTTCTGCATCAGTGAACCATAGACTTTGTAAGGATATTTGTAATTTGGAGTAACAGCATGCAGATTCATAGCTCTGGGATTCTGCTGAGAGAGACACAGCTGAATAGTACTTGGCCCCAGGCTGGAAATAGGAAGCTGCAAAATCTAAGATCTTTGGCAAAAGTCTGAAAAAGTGTAGCAAATATTAAGAATCCAGGTCAGTTGCACTGGTAGCTCACTGTGTTGCCTTCAGCTGGTCTCTGTCAGCAAACCCACAAGCATCTCACCTGAAATGAGCTTTAGTGGTCCCCACACACGTGTGAACACACACATAGTATCCAGTAAGACAACCATAAAATTTACCTAGCAAACTGCACAACAACTGGCAGGAGATATCTGGCTGCTGCTTGAAAGATTAATGGCAAACCACCAAGATCCTTCATGCCTAGCTTCACACAGCTTTGTTTATTATTTATTATTTATGGGGCAGCTGAGAGAAAATTCTAGGATGATCGACCTCTATTTAGTAAGTGGCACAGTGTGCATGAGGGGAAAAAATGGAAAAGGCCATGTGCACCTCCTGTATGAAAAAAGCCTATAAGCAAACAATTCACACCCTAGTAGCTCCCATGCTGCCTATAGGACTCACACAACAGGATAGTGTGAATTTATTTGTCCAGAAACAATGAGTTATTGTCTCTTCAATTCTGACAAGTGTGAAGTGCAAGGATAAGGGTCTGGAAATGCTATCACAAGACATATTTGAGCAATGAAGATTTTAACAGGTACCCGTGTGCTGTGCTGCTTCACTCTTCAGGTTGTATTCTTCATTTTATGCCAAGGACAAGGCAAAAACCTTTCACCAAGCTACTTTGAGATTCGGGAGATGAGGCAGGATGGTTTTTACAAGAGATGGCAAATGAAAGTTAAGAACTTGCAGACAGTGTTATTAACTTACCAAAATTGGGACAGATCCATGAAATGTGAAAAGATAGCAGGAAAGTAAACACTCCATAAGGACTTGTCTACTCACAGGGGTTACACTTTTATCTGGATTTTATGGAGACATACGGTATTGTGACATCTCTCTCCTTACACTTGGATGGTTTATGTATCACTCCTTATCGTTTCAAAACAATGGTGAGAAAATGGGGGAAAATCTGTTGTTAGTAAAAATTTCTCAGCGTTTCCAGGAATATTCGCCTTTCCTGGAGGGAAAAGTTCCAGCTACTATTTCAGTAACCCATCCTGTCACGCTGTCAGCTTGTTCGGTCTCTCCTTTCAAAAAGGGTTGTACAACTAGTGCTAACATCCTCTTCAGCACAGAGAGCAGCCATACAACATAAAACCATAACAAGTGCCTACTGAGTCAGACCACTGGTCCATGTTGCACAGTATTCTTTTTCAATGCTGAAAAAAAGAGATGCTATTTGGGAAGTGCACGTGAGTGAGGACACATTCTTCTCTCCTTTGTCCTTGTTTGTGGTGCTAGAGGTCACCTCCTTGCCTATTGCTTCGAGTGTTCACCCGTCTTATCCCTTTCTGAATCTGTTGGTAACATCTGCAGCAAGTTCCAGAAGTTTGCCGCTCAATAAAAATCTTTCCTTTTATTAACTTTAAACTGATCCTCTACTAATTTAATCAAGTTGCACAAGCCCACAGTTCCACACTCAGTGTATCCACACCTTTCATTTTATCGCAAACCTCCATCTTCTGTTTTCCAAGCTAAACAGTCCCAGATTTTTTAGTCTTTTCTCTATAGGGCAGCAGCTTCATCCCCTTGATTATTGCACTTGCCCTTTTCTGTACCTTCTCCACCTTCACTAAATCCTTCTTGAGATGCAGAGACCAGGATTGCTCATGGTACTCATGATGGGGGCACATCAGGTCTCGAATAGCAGAAAATTGTGCCCCTGGTCCTGTTCTCAATATCCCTCCTGATGATGCCCAACATCTTGAAGGCTTATTTGGCCATGCTGCACACTGAGTTGATTTTGGCAGCAGCAACTCTAAGACCTCTTTCTTGAGCTGTAATGGCCAGTTTCAAGTTCAGCATCATGTAAGCATGACCTACATTATTGGGTTACTAATGCAAATACAGAACTCAAGCGTATTTTGATACTATACCTAAAATTAAAATGCAAAACAGCCCTATTTACAGTCCTTGGAACATGGATTTATTTAATTCCTTGACAACTTTTGTAACCTAAAATCTGATAACTCCTTTCAAGGAAAAAAATTTACAAAGTGTTTTAGAAAACTAATTTTGTAAGCATTTACTTGGACATCTGAAGTATAGCAGGTTACTATCAAAAGAGGTCTGCTCACTTTTCAAGACTAAAATTTAAAGCAGACATCCTTCTAAGCCTGGCAAGCTCTTAGTCTTATTTTTGTATCGATATCTATATAATGATTATAAATTCATTATAAATTTAACATTATTAATTCATTAAGAATTGATTGCATTAGGCATTGCACTTCTGATAACTCATCAGAACTGTCACCACGCACAGCATATAAAGCAGTTATATTCAATGAAATCAAATATTGGATGTTATAGCTCAGTTTCACAGGTAAATGTTCAGGATAAGGTCAAAATCAAAGCAGATCATAGGATGAAATTTCCCTATTGCTGAAGGTTGTTGTCGAACTGTATACAATGGGTCCCACTTTTAAACTATGGCATTGGTGGGAATTCCACCTATTGTAAACTGGAGCTATTTATTGCTTTTGCAGACATTTTTACCAGTTCTCTGGACTCTTGCACACGTGTATGGAAATCACCTGCCTCAGATGGTTGCTTCTGGTCTAAGTGAACTTGGCGGTTTTGCTAAATCTGCTCCTTGTTTCCTACCAGGATGTTTTGGAAGTGGACTAGACAGCAGCCCCGCCGATTGCTACAAAAACAGCATTTACCAGACAGAGGAACTGATGCTTATGGATTTGTGCCAAAAACAATTGACCTGGTTATCCTGACTGGGTAAATATCAGAATATTGGTTTTAAAGAGTCTGAGAGACATGCATTCATGTCTTGATTCTAAAATCCTGTTCATTGACACTTTTGCCAAAGGGAATGGAAAATAAATACACAGAATAGTCACTGTAAAAAAACCACTGGACGGTTGTTATACACTGTGTAAACTGCTGGAATAGTCTTGGTCCTTGCCTCTTTATATGAATTCAGTCCACTGCAATCTGTATGAGACTAAGTCACCTGTCTGAAATTGCTGCACAGTCTGGAGAGAAGATTATCCAGTTTAAAGCAGCACTGTCGGGTTCGATAGCCCCAAAAGGAAACATCTAATTATTTTAATTTTGTATTTCCTTAGTCTTGAATAATTTCCTACATCCCTCTGCAGGTAAAAAACAACTTGCCTCCTACCTCCCCTCCTGAGATCCTGAGCAAGCCCAAGATATATAAATGAGGGTTTGCAGGGAAATCCTCCTGCCTCTGCAACTTCTGTGCTGGGACCTTGGGCCCTTGTCATTTCAATACTCAATACTCAATGTCTGGCAGAATGTCTTGGTAGCTCTCATCCAAGAGGACTGTGTCTTCTCACAGAAGAACAGCAGGCGGAATATTGCTGAAGAAATATGCTTCACCTCAAGGACAACTTGTTTCTGTCTGGAGAGTCTGCTGCAGAAAAGGTTGGATCTGAGGGCGGCAAGACGATCATTCTGATTCCCCATCCCTCTTAACATGGATGGGAGGATTTCAGCAGGGGTCTCCAGCAGTGTTATCCGACACATCAGAGTCTGTGGGGGCACCTTTTAGGATGTGAGAGGAAAGTGCAGCTCTTTTAAGTTAGGATGTGATGCTGCTGGGAATCAAGAAGGTCATTTTCTATAACTGGAAACAAATTTCAAAAGCAGGCTGATTCTTGTTTGATGTTTTCAGACATGCCAGCTTAAAGCTAATCAGGCAAAGTAATTTTTTCTAGTCCTCTGAGTTTTGAGCTAATGTGTTTTGCTGGCTAAAGGACTTGATATTAGCCCTACTGTAAACAGCCATGAAATCTGAGATGTCTTTTGTCTCCTTGTGATTCACGCAGAGACCTGTAGCATTTTAAGCCCAGCAATCGGTATAGAAAACTGACTTGATCAAGATAAAAATGATGTTTTATTTATCAAAAATGAACTGGCTATCAAAAAGCTGAATGAAGTTGAAGAGTTAAAGAAAATTAATGCTAAAAGAAGGGAAAAGAACAAAGTATCATTTCCATTCTCTCTCATGTAAGTAGAGGAGAAAATACGAATCCTTCCTGATTTCTGTATCACCACTTGATGAGGGGCAGTTGGCCTCAGAGCTGTGCTGGGCTGCAGCACCCCTCACTGCTGCTTTCATAACAGCAGCACCTGCAACGATTCTGCTGTGAGCAGATCTGAGCATGAGTGCTCTGAAATGACAGTAGGCACGACTCCTTCCCGCTTGGTACCTGGGATAAACAGTTCCTCCAGTGTTAGCAGGAGAACTTTCATGAGTGAAGGGAAAAAGATTTGGTTTAATGTTCATATACTTCAAATGAACATTCTTCCCACATATATACACATAGAAACATAAACCTCCTCCCTCTTTCCCAGGAAATTAGCATCTGTATTCATTGCTTTCCACATTCTCAGTTTTCAGGAAAAGCTGTAATCCAGCTACAGTTATAGCCCTAGACTTTTAATTTCCAGACTGGTGCAGGCTTTCAGACCCTCGCAGCATTCCTCCTGACACATCATCACTGCCCATGAGAGCAGAATCAAACCTACCGTATCAGCCTGGCATCGCTTTCTGTGTCTGCACACTTGGCAGAAGAGGGAAAGGGAGGAGGGGAGATCAGGGAGCTCTCCTGAGGTTGTAGCTGTATGAATAAAGAACCCTGAAATTTTCGTCTCTTCTAGACTTTGATGGAAAAATTATGTGTTTCTTCTTAGCTCAAGAATGTCTTTGGCTGGAATTTAAGATTTAGAAAACAGAAAATAACATCAGGTTTTAAGCAAATAGTTCAATATCATCTATATTTTAAATATCAGGAAGGTGCATCTGCTCTTCCCCTCCCCAGCCAGCCCCAAGTTAACATCTCAGAGTAATTTCTATGGATTGCATCATGCCAGGATACCTGGTTGTTACTGCTCCAGTTGATGTTTTACCGGCAGGCTGCTGACAGTCAGATTGTGTTTCTACCCTGCATTACAATGAAAGCAGACAATTTGTGGGAGAAGGACACTGATAGGAAAACAGCCGTTTAAACATTAAGATAAGTATCTGAATAGCTCCTGACTGGGAGCTAATTTTTAACAATCTTTATGGATGCGAGCAGACAGCAACAAAACATTGGAACCATCCATTTATAATTCAAGTTTGCAGGCAGAAATGTTGGCTATGTAACACCTTTGTCTTCCAATAGGAAAAAGCCTTTCAGTTAAAGAACAACAGATCTAAGAAGTGCTGAGCCACTTCTGAGTAAAGGCCAAGCCCAGCTCCATCCAAGGAAATTTTGGAAGGCTCTGCAAAAGTGCTGCCACGTGTGCTGGTGCAGGGCAGGGGCAAACATTTCTCCTCAGGGTCAGGTACTGAGCACTTCCAGAGAAGGAATAGCAAATGCTCATTATGGAGCCTGAAACAGAGAAACAGGCTGATGGTTTAAGCAGACTCTCCCTTCCCAGCAACAGCATTTGCAGGAAGATTGTGGACTTTTTATATGAAAGTGTGCAGCAGATGAATCAGTGTAGTTAAACAGTAACCATTTATCGTTTGGGGAAACCATCCCTCCCCGCCTTCTCTTCCCTTCTGCCACCACCACCAGCCTCGCCACGTGATTTTAAAGCGGCCCCTCAGCAACCGCAGCTATCACTGGGGAAAGAAAGAGGATTCATCCTCACAGAGCACAACAGCCCCACTACCAGCAACGCTGCACACCCCACAGATGGGGCGACACACAGCACACAGGCCCGTGCCCCCGCGGCGGCACAGCCAAGCCACATGCAGCAAAGACACCTCTTTTTTTACTAAGCACTCTCATCATAATATTAGCAGTGATCAAGAACATGTGAGATGATCTCTACTCTCAAAAAAAATAGTCTTCAGATGGATTTCAGCTCAGGTGGCCAGCTCCTGGTAACAGAAGCTGTTTTCCACTGGAATTATTATTTATTATTATTATTTGATTGAATAAATGGGATACTGCTTTACCAAAGGGCAAAGAGCATTTTTCCCCTCTGGTAGTTTTCAGTTGTGACAGAAACTGTAGTGGGGGTGGTGGGCATATAAGAGCACGTAGCAGCCTCTGGCCAGGGTCTGAGGTGGGACAAGTGGCACTGGTGTGCCATACTGTCCTTGGTGTCATTTGAAGCAGTTGTGGTATCTGAAGCAAGCTCAGTGACAGCCGTTGCTGCCTCCATGGAGGTGAGGAGTGGGTAACTAGCTGGGATCACCAAGGGTGTCCTGCTGCCTGGTTGGCTGAAGAAGCACCAGCCTCCAGGCTTCTCCTACGGGGGACACATGTCCTACCCTGCTCTGCTTCCACCTGGAGAAACCCAGAGCTGATACCTCCCCAAAAGCAGCAGTTCATGTCAGACGCAGCTCTACCTTGCTCCCTCTCTGCCCTTCCTCCCCCACTTTAACACTTCTTCTGACCCTCAGGCATCCCAACTCCAGCGTAGATGTTACCCTGGAAACTTCTTTCTGCAGAAGGTGGTTTCCTGCTGCAGGAAGTCACAGTTCCCCTTTGACTTCACCAAAGTAAATCACCTCTTGTCCTTCACCTGCATTTTCAACAAAACAGATGTGTTATAATCTGTGGGTATTTTGTTTAACAAAATGATAGATAAAAATGCTTCCTTTTCATCAGGCTGTTTTATCTTCCGTGCCTTGTGAATGGCAGAAAGAAGAAAGCCCAGAAACTCCTCAAAAGAAGAGGAGAGTTAGTCTCATCTCTTCACCATCTTTGGTGCTCTGCAGTGAGATGGCAGCTGTTGCACCACTGCTGCAGAGTACAAGTCCTCTCGGTACGAGGAAATGCAATGAGGGACTGAAACAACTTATTCTATTCCAAGTGTAGGATCCCTGGTTTTTTTTAGTTTTGTTTCATTCTAATTTCATATAGCCTCACATACAACAAGTTTAAGCTTGAGCTTCACATTCAGGTAATCCCTGAGAACCTTGACATGAAATTTGACATTAAATGAATAGATTTATACACTTTCTCCTCATCTGATTCCATTAATCACTCTGTGGCACTGGTTTTATCCAAATGTCTTGCAAGATTTTTGGTAAATCTAGATTTTTTTATTTCTGGTTTACTTACCTGGTTTTCAGTTTGATGAGGGGTGATGCACATGCCACGAGCTGGGATGTCCTCACTGCTGTGCCCAGGGCAACTCTGCAGCCCCAGAAATGGCACCCAAGGGCAGGACCCAAGAGTCCACTGGATGATGGTGGGAGAGGGCAATTTTTAGAAGTTCAACAGAATAACACAGTCTGAAGCATTAGATTTCCTCTCCAAAACTGAAACCAGTCACAAGAACTAGAAAAAGCTGTACTACTATGTTGTGTACACATTAGCCTTATTACATACAAAAATAAAAATCTTATTAATAACAATCAAGTAACAAAAAATGACCAAGTCAAACTATATCATACAGCAGAGGTCTTCTTAGCCTGAAGTTGCCCCAAAATCTTTTGGAGGTCGCCAGACAAAGAAAGCCCTTTTAGGGGCACCATAATTCACTGCTCAACCATAATTTCCCCTTCCAGAAGCACTGAAGTGAGCAGGTCAGTCATGCCCTCTGTACCCCTTTGGGTACAGCAGTTTTGTCCTTGTAGAAAGTGGTTCTCAACTGTTTCCCATCTGTAGCCCAATTCAGTCTCTGCCAGGAGTATCTGACCATATTTTATATGTGTCAGTGTAAGGGAATGTGACATCTGGGGTCAGGAGAGAGGATGGGGAAAGTATTGCACAGCGCCGCAATACTGTGGCTATACAGTTGAAACACGTGCCAACTTTGGTGGTTTCATTGAGTTGTTTACAAAAAAAAAAAAAAAGGAAGATGAAGAGATAAAAATATGAATGTTACTGATGCCTGCAGCATGGGCATTGTGTAAGAAAGGGATTTTAAGAAGAGACTGTAAAACACTGTGTTCTGAAGCGTACGAAGCAATGGTATTCTGTGTATAACATCGTACAAGAGTGCTCTAAGGGCAGAAAATACGCTGAGCAAGCAAGAGCAAGGGGACTCCTCCACACCCATGTATATAAATAGCAGCTAGCAAAAGTGCAGGGATATTCTGGGGGGGGAAACAAATGAAAAAGAGTATCCAAACTGAAAGCATTGCTTCATATCATGACAACATTTTTCAGTCTTACAAGTGTGGAAGCAAAGGGGCTGGGAATGGAATTTTACAGCAAAGGATCTGGAGAGGCCTCACAGCACCCTGTGATGGAACCAGGATGAATCTCTCTGGAAGCCTCTGTGAGTTTACTCTAATGTTTGGTTCAGATAGAACAGTTATCTGCTCTTCTGGCGATACGAAGTATGACAGCATAACATGAAAAATACATGGATTAATTTAGCTCCATCTTCAAAACTGGGCTAAAATAATCCATTCAGAAAGATACCGGCATAGCAATGTGGGTATTACACCAGTCCAAAGGAAAAGAAAATTACTAGTCTTAGAGAGAAGGAATTAAAGGTGAAGGGAATGAGAATAGGGAAGTCTTGGGGTGCCAAAATGTAGTGAGTCTAATTTAGGGCTTAGACTTCCTTCATTACCATGAGCATTCTTTAAGCCTAGAAAATGTGAGATAACATGAATTATTTTAACACACATTCACTGAAGGTTAGGCAACAGTATGTACACTTGCCTCAGCTGTGGCTTAGAACATGCACATGTACATTTAGTGCAGCAATGATGAACAGTAAATTAAGATACAGTAACTGGATTGAGAGTCATTTTCTTTAGAGTGGAAAGGAATTGGTAAGATTGAAAAGTTCAGCAAAATAAGGCTAGTGGGTATGCATGGAGGAAAGGGAACTCTTGGAGGACTCAGAGGAATCTACACAAGTGAGCAAACACAGTGTCCTCTAAGTAGGAAAAGCCACAGTAGATGGATGCTGAGGAAAGCATGGGAAGGAGACTGTCAAATATTGCAGTCCTTGCAGAAGTCATCTACCCACAATAAGAGTGAGAAGGAAGCTTTGAGGAAGAAGCTAAGACATACCAACAGGGCATGGAGATTGTAGGCACCAGACGTAGCAAGACAGAGGTCACAGAGACAAAGAAAGCAAGGCACTGTCGGATTCCTGCACTGTCTCCAGACTGTTCTCAGTGTGCTGTTTGGAAGAGCTCATGTCTTTTAGATTGGATGTATTTGGCTGGGTGCAGGCATACACGTTTGGCTTCCAAAAAGAGATACACTGAATTTTAGAATAGACATCTCGGTTAGACAGTAAAAAGTGTGCATTGGTTTTATGGGGACACTAAGGAGATAGCTAAAGCCATTGGTCCCATTTTTAGATGGTTAAATTTTGATTTGGAGAATCCATCTTTAGGAAATCTTATATCAGTCCCATGACATCACTGTATATACCTACAACCCTGTAAACACACCCTTGGAGCAGCACACACGAGGTTTTCAGCTTGGAGACATGGAGTATTTCAGCTCATACTCTTATTTGGAGTGCCCTTCTCCCCAGCAGTCCACAGCTCTGAAAAGCTCAAATGAACCATTGTCATGAGCCTGGCACAAAGCAGGTGACAGTTTTAGCAAGTTAGCTTACATGGGTTCAAGAGACCAGGAGGAACCTTCTCCAAGCTTACCACTGTTTCTGTACTCCCTAAACTCTACGGGGTCCCGGCTCCTGTGCTGCCAGCACTCCCTTTGCTGCACCTTAAACCAATTGCCCTTCCTGCAGCAGGAGTAACCAAGCCCGGCGGTCAAGCACAGGAGAAAGAGAGGCAAGAAGAGCGCCCGCTGCACAGGCAGCAGTCAGTGTCCAGCATTCGGCGCATGAAATGACATTATTCCCTGGATATGTGACACAATCACATCAGCATGTATCCCTCTGCAAGAATCTCATCCAGTTCTTACATGTCTTAATGTTGTCAACACTGAATGCCGGCTTACGGTTGCTGTGATAAACGTCCAAGGACTTGCGATAGGGCAGTGGTATTCACCCACCAGAAGTGGGAAGGAGGCTTTCTAGCTTTTAAACTGTAGTTATTGCTTCACCCTTGTTTACCCTATTCTTTCTTGTCAGTTGAATAGGAATTTAAAAGCAGAACCAAATTTTTTTTATATATAAACATTTGTGGTAAGTACTGAGCCACAGCAGTGTCGCAACCAAAACACAGTTGCTCAACGGCACCTGTTAGTGCAATTACTTTGACATAAAATGTGTTCTTTACTGTTGTCTTCAGGGAAAACCAGCAGCAGCCTGTTACCCTGCAGCTCCAGCTGGCAACAAAATTTGTTACCTTGATCTTGCATAATATTGCAGATGAAAATAACAGAATTCCAGTGATCAAACTTGTTTTTCACTTATTACCAACTGCAAGCCATACCCTGCAACCAGGTAACCTTGAGAAACAAGACTAAACCAAGCTGCTTATTTACAGATAAATATTTTCATGGGACCTGCATTTATATGCATCAAGGAAAGCATACCGGAGGGCATGTTTTTCCTTTGTTTTTCTCCATGGCTAAGTTAGGGCTAGAGAGAAAGCAGAGTCTTAACAACAGTCATCTATTTCTTTGTATGTTCTTACAAACCCTTCTACAGTCCTAAGCAGGGGGAGTCTCCAAAGTAGTGGCTAAAGGCAACAGGGCAACCATGTCATTAGGATCCGATTGGAAGTTCTGCCAAGTTTATCCTAAAATGAATGTTATCATAAAATGCACAGTGCAGGTATTACCCATAGATTTAAGGTTAAGGGGTTTTGTGGTTGTTAAAGACTGTTCCTAAGAGGTATGTGAAAGATTACTGAAGTGAGCAAGAGCAAGCCAGGGAGGTTTTAGTTCACTGCAATGGGGCAGGTACTTCTGGTGGGAAAGGTGTACAGGTTCATAGATTTAAAAAGGCAAAACTGCATTTGCCAGTGTGGAAGGTCAAAGAGACACATCTTCTTAGGTCTACAGGGAGCCTGATCCAAAGGTCCCTGGGGAACTACATGAAATTGGGACATTTTCTGACAGTGGGCTCTTGGAGTAGAATTTTATACATCAATGTGCAAGAAGTGACGCAGGGAAATAGTGTGGTAGGCATGGGCTCTCCAAGGCCTTCTGGAGGGCTCAGGATTGGCAAAGCTATCTATCTTCTATGCAAAACTGTAGCACAAGTGTGATAATTTGGCTCTGAAGGTGTCTACATGGTTTTGACACCATTACAGCAATGCATAGTGCCTTACAGACAGTCTATACCACCATTACAGCAATGCATAGTGCCTTACAGTCTATATGGTCATGCTAAAGCCAACTTTGTTGGGACAAAAAAAAAACAGGAAAAAGTTGGGAACCAAGCAGATGGAAGCAGAGAAAATTTCATGTATCTGTGAAATGAAAGACCATGAGAGAGATGATAAAGTTATCATGGACAGTTTTCATTATCAAGATATCACTCCAAGCTAATGGACCAAATAATGAGAGTCAATACTCAGAATAAGCATGGGTTGAGGGCTCTTCTCAATGAATATGTTCAATGGCCCACAATATAAGGCCTTATTGTATGAATTCTGGTGGACCGAGGACTGAAGAGAAAAGGCTTATCCCACCATTTAATGCAAGTGCTAGGAGCTGGTAAAATGTAGCTTGTACCCTACAGAGCTAAGGAAAACAGCATGACAGAGGTGCCCTGTGACAGATGCAAAGGAGACTGAAGAAGAAATGGAATTTGAGAAACCTAAAAGTGGACCCACAAATCTATGTTTAGCATCTATTCACAGCAGTGAGTAGCAGACTGGGAAAGGTCTCTAAGCTTGTTGTTCATTCTTCTATTTTTATATATTCTTTTTACCTTTAAAATCGAAAAGATAGAATCTCAAAAAATGAGCAAAAAGCACACAAAAGGACACCTGAGGGAAAAAGGTTGTTCTTTATAACTTGCAAAGCTAACATTGTATAACAACAGAAGGAATAAATGTCAAAAAAAAAACCATTGTGTACAGTGCTAGCAAAAGGGCATTACTCATAGCCTGATATAAACAACTAACAACTCCCATCTGGCAACAAAAGTCTTTGCGAAGGGAAATACACTAAAACTCCTGCCGTTGATAACTGAGGCCTGTTATGGGAAATGCCTGCAGGATCCAAGCATGATTGCAGCAGAGGGAAGGAAAATGACATGCTCGCGTCCAAAACAGCTTGGAGTCCGACAGTATTTGAGGCATTTCAAAATAGCACACATTCACAAGTGAAAAGCAAGGAAAAGTGGTTAGTGGGTACAGAGCAGTTTGGGCAGCTGAGCCCTGATATGGCTCCTTGCCCCTGACTTTTTCTTGACAGACCATCCACGTTACCATCAGTCCTAACATCCCATTCAGAGAAAGAAGAGCAGAGACAGGCAGTGGTGAAAAATAAGAGGTCAAAATCTCTGGGAAAATAAAAACAGAAACTAAAAACGAAGAATATTTGATAATTCCAGAGAAGAACTTGTCATGCATATAGAGCTTGAACCGGAGCCCACCAAAGCCAAATAGAGTCTTGCTGTGAGATGCAGTGGGCTTTGGCTCATGTCCATAGGCTAAACACTTTCTCTGGCAAGTCTACAGAGTGATTCAGTCCCAAACTGCTCAGCACAGCCAAATTCAAAAGCCCTATTCATATTCTAAAAAAGGCAACTGGACATCATTCCATGGTTCCAGTTGCACAATTGTCTTCAAACAGGTGGCAGAAACAACATCCATCGCTGGCCAGAAAACCAAAGAGAAAGTCAGGAGCCCGTGGTAGAGCAAGATTTTACATCTAACACTGATACTGTGGAACAAATTTAATATTTTCCATTGAGATTACTCTCCTTAAAAGCACTGGTCAGGCTTTTTTTTTTTTTTTTGGTGATTTCACTGCAGAACTAATATATTCATCTCCTCTTACAGGAAATCATATTAGCATGTGGAACTGATACAGCAAATAGTAGCAGCATGGTAAGATACTTGAGGGGCCTTCCATTATTGCAGGAAGAAAGATACCTAGAAATTAAATTCGTTTTTTTCGATAAAGGCATTAGTATTAGTACTTTGGGTAAAGGAGATTGCAGAAGAGTACATCTCACAAAGCGGGAATTTCTGATGGGAAGTGAGCAGCTATTTTTACAGATCACTCAGGAAGAATGCAAATCAATAAAGAAACATTATTGGGCCATCTTTTGTAAAGAGAGTTTTTTTTTCAAAAGATCGTAGTTTCCAGCCTTCATAAGACTAATATCCTACACAGCGGGCAGTGGTCAATAGCTCGATGTCCAGATGGAGATTGGTGACAAGTGGTGTACCTTGGGGATCCATAATGGGACCAACATTGTTCAATATCTTCATCAATGACATAGTAGGATCGAGTGCATCCTTAGCAAGTTTGCAGATAACACCAAGCTGAGTGGTGCAGTTGACATGCCTGAGGGACAGGATACTGTCCAGAGGGACCTGGACAACCTCAGGAAGTGTGCCCATGTGAACCTCATGAGGTTCAATAAGGACAAGTGCAAAGTCCTACATTTGAACAGGGGCAACCTTGGTGCAGTTGACATGCCTGAGGGACAGGATACTGTCCAGAGGGACCTGGACAACCTCAGGAAGTGTGCCCATGTGAACCTCATGAGGTTCAATAAGGACAAGTGCAAAGTCCTACATTTGAACAGGGGCAACCTCTGTTATCAATACAGGCTGGGGGATGAAGGGATTGAGAGCAGTCCTGCAGAGAAGGACTCAAGGATACTGGTGGATGAAAAGCTGGACATGAGCTAGCAATGTGTGCTTACAGTCCAGAAGGCCAATTGCAGCCTGGACTGCATCAAAAGACGGGTGGCCAGCAGGTCAAGGTGGGTGATTCTGCCCCTTTACGCCATTCTTGTGAGACCTCTCTTGGAGTATTGCATCCAGCTCTGGAACCCTGTGAAGGAAAGAATTGGACCTGTTGGAGTGAGTCCACAGGAGGGTCACAAAGATAATCAGAGGGCTAGAGCACCTCTCCTATGAGGACAGGCTGAGAGAGTTGGGGTTGTTTAGTCTGGAGAAGAGAAGGCTCCTGGGATATATTATTGTGGCCTTTCAGTATTTAAAGGGGGCTTATAAGAAAGATGGGGACAGACTTTTTAGCAGGGCCTGCTGCAATAGGACGAAAGGTAATGGCTTTAAACTAAAAGAATGTAGATTTAGACTAGGTATAAGGAAGAAACATTTTTCAATTAAGGTGGTGAAACACTGGCACAGGTTGCCCAGAGACATCGTAGATGTCTCATTCCTGGAAATATTCAAGGTCAGGTTGGACAGGGCTCTGAGCAAGCTGGTCTAGTTGAAGGTGTCCCTGCTCATTGCAGGGGGGTTGGACGAGATGACTTTTAAAGGTCCCTTTAAAGGTTTGGTTTCCAATCCAAATTATTATAAACCCCCAATTACACCTAAATGAGCATCCACAGTGTGGGGAAGAATACAGTGAGAAGGGAAACAAGCAGCCAGTCAGTCACCCAAACTTCTGCCAAGGTTTTCCACTCTGAGCAAGAGAAGGCTGAATTATGATATGCAAGGGTTAAAATGCAAATAATATATCTCATGATTTGCAATACCCAAGCAGAAGACGCTTCAGTGATTGTTTAGTTTTATAGCTGGACCAAGTATTTGTGATTAATATGTTTCTGTCTGCTCACAACTCCCAGGGAATTTAAGAGAAAAAAATAATTTAGGCTTTACCTATCTACTAGGGGGAGAGACTAAAAAGTAATAGGAAAACATTTCAATAGTGACTATTGACATTTCCATTTTGATGTTTTAAAATTGAAAGGCTTGTTTGGAAGGCTTGTGAAATTATTATTTCAATATTTTTCTAAATGTAATTTTTACTTTTCCTTTAAAAAAATCACATTTTTTGCTTTAAAACCATCCAGCTAAGGAAAATATGTTGAAGATCCCACAAATAAAACAAAAGGTTTTGAATTTAGCTTACAATCCAAATAGTTTCTCTTCTACTTGACTCAGTCTCTTCTCTCTTCACACTCCCCTCTAGCTTTTCAGATTTGGGCCAATGAACAAAAACATCTATTATTTGCGCATGTTGTTTGAACAATGACATAGGGTGAATCTGCAATGTAGTGATGCTCCAAGAGAACAGGCAATATCTTAGCACAGGAAGAAGAGCTCCTTATGAGAACAACACTGCTGAATTCCCTGTTGCTTTGTGCTCGTTGTAAATGGTTCATGCAGGGTCAATGCTTGTAGCACACCTTCACTCTCTTAAGACAATATTCCTTACCTGTTTGCAACTGCTGAAAATAGCTACAGGACAATCCACCATCAGGCCCTATGGGTCCACATCATAAGTAAATGTTGGATGGTGTTACAGCACAAAGTTGTTCTAGAAACCCCTTGATGAGAGAAAGCAAAGAATAAAATGAACTTTCCAAAGAATTAGAAGCCCAAGTTTTCATCATCAGTAGAGAAATCTTGGCCACACTTTAAATCATCAAAAAGTTCTCAGAGACTTCAGTGGGAACAGGAATTTAAGAAAGCATGCACCAGCCTCCCTACGGACAATTTATTTCCTTTTGCCTTGAGCTTAATGTAGGGAGCTTTTTTTGCTTGTTGTTTTTCTTTTTTTTAAGTCCTGGGCAAGGACACAAGGAGGAAATCTCCATTTTGTGGTAATAGGTGCCTGTAGATACTTGTTGAGGAAGAAACAATGAGTGCATTCCTACTGCCATTTCTGAACTTCTGTAATTTCACTGTTCACATACTTCTAGCACTAAAACATGAAGGATCATGTAAGTGTTCCCATTTATACATTTTGTCATTTTTCACCAAGAAAAGCATCTTGAAGAACTTGCCTTCTGTTTGATGAAAAAGTAAAAAATTCATTCAGTGATAAACATTCATATTTAATAGAGTTTACTACAACCCCTTCCAAAGCAGGAGGAAAAAGAGGAATTAAAAAAAAGCCAGGCAGTGAAAGGAACATGTCACACCGCTATGCTCCAGATATTTCCCACTTGAGCTCTACTTTAGCTTGGTAGAAATGCAAACAATGGTGTAGATCTGAGAACTGCTTCATTTTCCCATCCCCCTTTCCTTCTCTCTGGTTGGGAGGAGAACACGTTAGCAGAAAAAATTCCCCTGTTGAACTGTAACCTGTGTTTAATAGTCTTGAGGCCAAATTATACAAGTGAATCAACATACTTTGATCTCTTAGTATCACTTTTCTATCTTTTCATCTAACATAAATCATTCAGTTTCCCTCTCTGAATTTCTCCCATTCCCCTGTAAACATACCCATTTGCTGTCTGCTGTAATGTTCTTACCTTGCCTTCAAGATCCCACCAACCTTACAAAAGGTGCATCAAGCTTGCCAAGGAAGAAGGACAAGGGCAGGTTGTGCAGGTTTGCTTTCCCAGGCAATTCTAGACATACAAGAAATTTATAACTGAGAAGTTTAAACATGTTGTAAGAATATAAATATGCTGTGTATAATACGTAGTAATATGTCCTGACAGGAACACTTGCAAAAACTTTGGCAAACAATCAAATGGTATTAAAAAGCTGTCTTTCCTCACTCCACATTGTAATGTTTTCAGTTTCTTATTGTTAAATTAAATGAATACATGAAATAACAAGAGTTGAAAGGAAAAGGTGTACTGCAGTGCCTCCCCAATCACAAGCTGGATCTGTAGATAATTAATTCTGACCAGCCATATGGTCTATTGTGCCTCATCTCTACTGTTTTCTATTCATATGTAGTTAAAGTGCATTAAAACTACACTAACGTTGCAGAGTCAGCATTCAAAAGGCTGAAAATGCCAGAAGGAAAGCTGCTTGGGCAACAGCAATCCAGCCAGCTTAGCCAAATGCACTCAGATATACTCTTAATTTTATAACCAGACATTTCTTTCCCGCCCTCTCCCACCTTGCTTCAGTGTGCGCAGTGGACTCAACATGCAGCTATTTCAAACTCTATTTTATACTTTCTTCCTGCAAGTTGATTAAACTGAAGAATGGGCAGCTAATCTGGCAGTGAATTTCACAGATGTTTGCTGCCGGTGAAGAAACTGGCATTTCACTCCAGGCTGTGGGTAGGGGTGTACACAGGAGAAGAACATACACACTTGTCCTGACCTATCTGCCTTGGACAAACTGTCCTGCTCCTGTCTGTCTCTTCCCTATGCCTTCTATTTATTTTCTCCCAGTCCCAGCCTTCCCTCTTCAGCCTTCTTATCCAAGGCCCAAACATCCCCCCTTACCCTATTCACAGTTGCAATCTTCCCAACCTTTTCATGCAAATACCCTTCATTCTCAATCCAGTTTTCCCTATTAATTTCCTAGGTTTCCCCAAAGCCTCTCTTTTGGTCTCACATTCCCAGGCCCTCATGTTTCTACTCTCTTTCCACCACTAAGCATTTCCAGCTCATCTTTTGTGATCCTTATGTTGGTAAGTAACCCTCAACCACCACCAGGATTGAACCTTAGCTCTTGATCGCTTCTTGTAAAAAGCAAGTTAACTGTACTTCCAGACCACCTGAGCAGCCAGGAGTGGTCTATTTGCCTTCTACAAAGGCTTTTGGCACCCATGTACGACCCTTGAACTGGGAAAAGCAGCACCAGAGAAAGTCCTGATTTGAGCAAGGCACCCTGAAGCTAGCATATGTCTGCAAATGACAGATTTCTTTTTCTTTTTTTTCGTTATCTTCTTTTTCTGCTCTTCCTCCTTTATCTCCTCTATCTAATTCTTCTCATTTATCTTCTTCTGTTATTTTTTCCATTTTTGCTTTGTCTTTTTTTCCCATTTTCTAAGAGTTAAGCTGCCAAGCTATAACAAGTCTCAGCAGAGCGTATACAAAGATTGAAATTTTTTTTAAATGCTCAGGTTATCCAACACTGGTCAATTTGTGCAAATGAGAAGGCAGCAAAACCAAAACTTCCTTAAAAATAAAAAGTCTTGTCAAGTTTAGTTTCAAAATATCATTTCAGGACTATAGAGGTGCAAGTAGTCCCCAATGAATTTGTTGAGGTGTTGAGGGTTTTTTTCCTTTTTATTAAGAAAAACATATTTTCTTAAAAGGGGCTTTCTGAAGAGACTTAACTATTTTGCCTTTAAAGTTTTTCCCAGAAACATTCCATCCAAGGCAGATAGGGATTTTGGAAATTTTGATATGGACTTATTTCCTCAGAAGGATCCTTCTGGGCCCACAAAACCTGAACTATTCCACCCATATGGTCATCCTGCTTCCACTCTGCCTCCTAATAAAATGCTTTTGTTTCTTAATCAAAGCAGATTTTTGTAAGATTTCAGTTTTTTTTCTCCAAAATGAGTGTGTTTTCTGTGTTTTGTCACAAGTGAGTAAGATTCTTTTTTTTCCTCTTGAAAACTCATTTACTGGAAAATGGAAATTTGGCTGACTCTAAAGCACTTGAGATAACTCAAATAAAATCATGTGTATCCATCGCACTCCTGATACTCAGGAGTATCAGTGAAATCTAAGAGAGATGCAATCCAGGAACCCCTCCAAGCAACTCCACACACAATAGGTTGGAAACACTCCCTGATTTTTTGTTGTAGTTTAGTTTGGCTGAGGTACACTTCAGGAAAAAAAGTACACATCTTTTTCCTGCAAAGATTGACATACATGCTTAATTTTACCATTTGAAAAGTCAGTAAGATTAAATATAAGCACAAATCTTTCAAGATGTAAGGCCTAAACAACCTTCTGGTGGAAGTGCAGGGCAGCATGTGTGATCATGGATGACATCTTTTTCTCTCTAGATACTATAAAGGTTAAGTGCAATCTGCAGCACCTTACAGATTAATTATCAACTACACACTATGTTTTATCATTTCTTTCCTCCTTTCTTCCTTCTTCTAGCTGACATATGGCAGTTTTACTTTGGTCTCACTTTGGGAGTACCTACATTTTACTGGTAATAAGTCCTCTCAAACAATTCTGCTTGGAGTTTCTTGCAGCACAGAGGGTCTTCCAATCAATCCGATTTCTTCTGGCAATAAGTGCAGAGATTTCCAGCAACCTACTTTGAGAGGATCAGAGCAATGCAAATACCCTTGAAGATTTCTCCTGGAGAGGACAGGTCTGCTTTGGAGCACTTACAGCTTAAAGGCAATTACCACATATTTCCAGGAGAAACTCTGACCCGGTGACATAAAGGTACACAACCACACCAGTGAGAAAAGGCATTCAGAATAATTTAAAAAAAAAAGAAATACACAAAATGTTCTGGGTTTTGTAGTGGTTTGGGTTTTTTTTCTGGACTTTAGAAACTATGCTTTTCTGATTTTTTTCTTGGGAAATGAATCACCTACATGCATTGTTTTTGAAGCAGTCTGGCAAATGCTTTGTGGACTCTAGCAGGTAAGACAATGTAATATAGTTGCTCATAGATTTGCTGCTGTAAGTAGGCTAAATTTCCACAGAGGTTGCACTGAGAGAAACCCTTTGAAGTCATTCCTACAGCAGATGTTGAATCTTACTCCTGAGAGAATGAAAATATCAAATGCCGTGCACCTCTGACAGATTCTGGCTGGGAGACAAAACTCAAAATGAATTCAGAGAATAGGGCCTGATCGACTGAAGCAAATCTGTGCATATCTTAGGAAACTAAGTTTATTTAAGGTATTTGTATGAAAAAAAAACCAAAATGCTAAATTAGAATTAGCATCAAAAGCACACAAAGGATCAAACAACTCACTATGTTATAATCCAATTATTAATATAGCAGCTTCAGCGGCTCAAAGAAACACTGAGCCAGTGGAACCTGCAGTGGAATGAAATGGAGCTTGGAATGAGCTCAGGCTGCAGCCCAGAATGTGAAGAAGGTTTCACTGAAAGGACCTCAAGGGACCATCACCATCTCAGCCTGAAAATAGAGTGGGACCCATCCTGTATGTTGCTTCAGCAACCCCAGATGTCAAAAGAATCACTTAACACATTATAAAAGCTAAAGACGGATGGTTGAGAGAACTGATAAAAATGCAAATTGAAATGGTCAAAAATTCAGAAAGTATGAGCAATGGAAACGAACCCAGAAAACCATTCAGCCAGGAGGTTAGAAAGCGTGAGTCAGGAGAATGATGAATGCCAATGTGCCTTTGAAAAATGTCCAGTTCTTATACAGAACTGGACAGAAATGAGGTTAAAAGAGCCAGTGTAGAGCTGAGGAAATAACCTAAGTGCTCAGCCTAAAAAGAAGGAGCAAAGCCAATCCACTGCTGGTAGCTGAAATGTGAAGTGGTGAGAGGAACTGCAGCCTGGTTTAGCATATCAGGAGTGGGATTGCTCAGGAGATGAACACATCTCAGTCACCACAGACATACACTGTCTATTATAAAACATGTCATAATTTGAAAAACCAAATCCAATAATCAGGGTCCCACTAGGTGGTACATAACCATTCAGCACAGCACACACAGAAATAGCAATGGTTAACAAGAAAACCAGTTTATCTGTCTTATCAGCTGCAGCACTCATTATGTAGACACACAGATTTGGGCATGGACAGATCCAGTATTAGCTACCACGTTGCGCTGTTATTCTTTGCCAAGAACTACATTTTCTAAATAACCCACTAATTGTGCATCAGTTAATTTGGGATCCCAAATATTAGACACTTAAGCATTTACCGTCAGCCATGTTCTGCACTTAACTGTCTCCCCACTGAAGCTCCTGTTCTGAACATCCTGTCCAATGCTCAAAAAACTGAAATGCTTGCAGAGACCATTGGCTTTAACAGTTATTGTGGCCATTCAGCTTCTTGCTCAGCCAAGGTCTTGGAGCCTCAATTTTGAGAAATTGAATTTATGGCATATTCCACTCCTTCTCCCTCCTTCCAACCTTGCCCGGAGCCCAAGAGAAAAACAAAACACATTTTTGAAAAGCATTAGTAAGAAGAAAATCCCACATAAGAGATTATTGTAAATAAATTGGAGGAGAGCTGTCTCCCCATTAAGGATAAGGCATTGTTCAAGCAATCAGCAGTAAATGTAAACAGGCAGAATGCTCAATAACTGAGAAATAGTAAAACTTAGTAAATCACCCAAATCAAAACAGAAGCCACTTTATTAGCAGAACTAAAAAGGACCAAACTACATTCTGTGGTACATAAAGAATCAGAGAGCTAAGAACCACAATGCCTTGGAAAACTGCATGCTTAGGAAACACTGGATGTATGCATTTATCCCACTGAGCTCCTGGTGTTGCAGGGCTGAGGGCTAAATTTGGATTTGAGTTTCACGCTCTAACTCTTGCAAAAATAAATTTCAACAAATTGTGGGAAAGGTCAGGCTATTTTCATATGTTCTGGTACTTAAGCTCATTCTATCCTTGTAGCAGACACATCTGGACACACACACACACACAAAAACCCGTGTGAGGCGACAGACAAAGAGTTGAAATATTTTTTTTCTGAACTGTGGAGGAAATATTTTTTTTCCACTTGAGGTCCGGGGAGAGCAGTACCTGG